AGACCCTTCCCGCTACAGCTTTGGGCTTCAACCCCCCTGATCTTGACATTATGGACAGGCCACCAAGGAAAGCCGATGAGGGTCTGATCACTGGATGGTTGTTCTTCAGGTACATGGCCATTGGTGGATACGTCGGTGCTGCCACCGTTTCCGGTGCTACCTGGTGGTTCATGGTTGCCCCCGATGGCCCTCATCTCACTTATTGGCAATTGACCCATCACTTGACCTGCTTCACTGAGCCCGAGAAATTCAGTGGATATGAATGCTCAATCTTCAAAGATCCTCACCCCATGACCATGGCTCTGTCTGTACTGGTAACAATTGAGATGTTAAACGCCATGAACAGCTTGTCTGAGAATCAGTCCCTTCTTATCATGCCACCATGGATCAACATCTGGCTGTTGTTGGCCATGGCTCTCTCATTCTCTCTTCACTTCGTCATTTTGTATGTTGATCTCTTGTCTTCTGTCTTCTCTGTCACTCCTTTGAATGGTGAAGAATGGTTCGCTGTCATGAAGATGTCTATTCCTGTGGTACTAATAGACGAAGTCCTCAAGTTCATCGCCAGGAAATACATTGATGTGAGCCGAGTAGAAAAAAAATAAAGCCTAAAGGTGTGGTGAACCAGCTCATTTCATTTTCTAGCTGATGTCCCTATATTCACACTCATATAATATCCAAACGAGAGAAAATATTTCAGAAAAAACAGTTCTTAAGTGTTGTGCCAGTGCCATCCTTTCCGTTTTATTTATTTATTTATTTTTTATTTTATTTTTAAGTTCCAACCTCGAGTTTCTGGGGGACTGAAAGCATCAGATTGAAGTATGTTAATTTACTGAAACCTATTTAGCGAACGTCTACGCCTTGAAGTGAAACAGTGGCTTTAAAACCCCCCGTTGCCTTTAAAAAATAAAATTATATCTTAAATTATGTATTTTGTTTCTTTGCCTCTGGAAATTGCCGACGCCGTGCGGAGCCCAACTCTGGAGCCTTGTTAAGTCCAGGACTTTTTTGGATTGTGATACCAGAAGAAAGCAACGAACGAGCTTCGCCAATGTCCAAGGAGAAAAAGACAGCAACAAAAAACAAACAAAAAATGTGTAAAAATACGCAGTTTGAGTGAAACATTTTCTCGTGAGTAATATCTGGTCAAAAAAAAAAAGTTTGAAAAGGGGAGATATTCTCCCAGATTGAGTGTTTTCTTTTTCCTAGAGCATATTTAGCTAGAATTTCAGGGTTGCGTAATTTTTTTAAAAAAATAACAAATTATATATATATATATCATTG